TGTTAGTTCCATTCACTGGAATTTTCCTCCTCTTGAAAGTGTTGATAGACCCCCAAAATGAAGTAAGATTTTCTACCTTAGCCCAGGGACTGGCCGTCTGAAAGGAAGACAAAAATGGGAGGGAAGGGATAGGCAGCATAATAGATAGGCAGATAGATATGGAGATTCCTTTTAATGGAGTAATGTAATGATGGAATGGTCTTTTCTGATGCAAAAAACCCTTCCTACTAGCAAATGTTCAACACTTTTGTTTAGTTCGTCTTCATATTCCAAATTAATATCATTAGGGAAGCTTAAAAATGTAAGTGCTAAAAATATGTTTACATACTAATTCTATCTAATGCCAGAAAGTTCACAAAGCATTTCCTATATTTCCATGTAATGTTCCCCTTTTACATTCATGTTTTCTAATACCACGTTAAACAGTACACTATAACAGGTAAATAAACCACCTCTATAAATATCAACCTTCAATAAGGCAATGAGTGAGCAGTGTATTGAATCTTAAATCCTTCTTTCCTTCACCCAGACAAAAACTGTATACCCAACTTTGACCTGTGAAGAGAGTATTGGGGAAGGAATTTCCCCTAAAGGGCAAGAATATTTTTCAGGTGTAGTAATTTTTTGTATGTATGTATATAAATTTATGATCTGGTATTTCCAAGTCAGGTGAAAGATGATCAAGTTGGTAATAAACTGCATGAATTAGTGTTTGTTTTCACCATGGCTATATTAGCACATTATGATGGCAACAAGTATAAACATTTTTTTGACCACTGAGGTTGTACCTCTGTACAAAATTGAAATTGCTCAAAGTACATCACCAAAGTTAGTCATTAACAAGGAGTCAGAGATGAACTTTGGATATCTTTTATACCAGTGAGGAAAGAGAAGCTTCGGCGGTCCAATCCTGCAATCTGATTTGAGGGAGTAGAGTCCTGTGGCTAGGGAGATCACATTTCTTCTTAACTGAGCTTTGTAGATTTGAGGCCAATGCTTGCTCTATGACAACACAGTGGCAGCATGCTGAGGAACACCAATGCAATGTTACTGCAAGACAAACAGAATAAGTTAAAACTGCTTTTTTGCCTTCCTCGAAACGAATTTCTAGGGAGCTTTGTAGCAACTCCCCCACAATAATAGCTGAAAACTTAGAATAAAAGTGGCTGGACCTGGGGGAGGGAAATGCAGAAATATTTCTGATCAGGGGTATTTTAAATCAAACTGCTGAAACTCAGCAGTGAGATAAGCAGTAATTTGAAGCTTAGTGCACAGGTCATGATTTTGGTTGAGACCTCAAGGTACTGAAGATAAATAAATGACAATAATATTCATATGGTGTTTGCTAAGTCTCAGAGTCTTCTTTTCACATGTAGTAGGCTCAGTGGAAACAGTTGAATGGATTCAGTGAACAACTATAGCTAAGTCATGGCCTGGTTAGCTCAGAAAGGGGGAGCACAAATGCTTTTATCCCCTTTGTTGACTAGTTCAAGATTTGATGGGGAAGGCTGAAGGGATGTATACTTGTAGTGTAACACTGCTGATTCTGTTTGTAAGAGCAAGCATTCTCCCCTAGCTTATGTATTCTAACTTCCTGGGAAGCCTAATCAGTGAATGGCACCCCATCCAGAATACATGGGGCAGGATGCAGCTTCCAGTCTTGATCACTTTGCAGATATTTTGCCCAGGTACTTGCACAAGGTAAGAAGAGCCTACATCCTTGGCTCATCAGCACAGAAGCTGTAGGGAAGGTTTTAAATAAGAGAGAGAGAGAAAAATACCACAGCTGGTAAAATGGAAAAGAGCCAGAAGTCACCTACTAATCATAGATGCTGAGTACATGGGAGCCCAAGGGCCCTGAGCCCCCTCAAGAAAAGGGTAGGGTGACCACCCATTCCTAATTGGGCAGGACAGTTTTGAAATAGGAACATCAAATCCTGGGCTCCATGTCCTGGGCTGCAAGTCCTGGGCTGCATGACTCCAGGACAGCATTTGTCCTGGATTCCCAGTATCAGGCAGGGATCCGGTTTTCCATTCACTGTGGAATAATGCAGGAAATGGCGGGTTTCCCCTTGCAGGCTGGCAGACCTCCAGCCTGCAAGAGGTTGTGGGGAGTGGGACATGGGAGGCGCCATGTGTGTGCATGTGCACATGCGCATGGCCAGGAATACAGCCCCAGGCAGTGGTGGAGAACAGGTACCCCAGCTGCCTGCAAGTAAGTCTATGGGGCGGTGGAGCAGATCAAGGGCCCCATGATGAGGGAGGGAGTGGGGTAGGGACTAGGGGGAGCTGCCCAGCCAGGGCAGTGCATGGGGCCCAGGGCTGGCAGCAGGACAGAGCCATGAGTGGCTTGTCTGGGGGAGATGGGGGGGCTGGCTCCCTGCCACTGCACACACTCCTGGGGAAGGGGGAATGGGGGCATGTGTCACCCAGATTTGGGCACAGGGTGGGGACAGATGTGGGCTGCCTGTTTGCAGGTTTGGGGCTCCCTGCTACCCTCCTCCGAGGAGTCCTGCACCAGCTGCACTGCCATGGCCCCCCCACCCGCCTGGCAGCCATGCGGGGTTGTGTCGTCTGCTGCTGCCGGGAAGGTAGGGAGTGCCTGGCCATGGCAGTGCAGCCAGTGTGGGGCTCCTGTGGAGAGGGCACCAGGGCAGGGGGCCCAACGCCACACAGGGCAGCCTGCATCCACCCCTGTCCTCCCACGGGCTCTGCTCAACTCTGCTCCGGCCATGCCACCAGGAGGAGAGGGAGGGGCATCATCTTAGGCCTCCCCAGCAAAAATAAAAATTGGCCCCTATGCTACTAATCATCACATTTAACTAGTGAAAATAACTTATTCCTACACACTTTGCCCCCTCACAGTAAGCCTTAAATGTATAGTCCCCTCTTGTCTCTTTAATGGAGACGGTATGCATTCATTGTTAAGGCTGGCCTGACATCTGGTGGTTGAGGTCGCCATAGCAACAGTCAAAAGGCTGCTTCAAGAGGAGCAGCAGTTGGCAAGCATCAGTTCTGCGCCCACCTATTCAAACGTGGAAAATGAAGCCCTTTATTCTGCAGTGTTTTCCCCGTGCGGTTGTGGTATTATCGACAATGCCAACGCGCCGTTTCTTTTTCTTCCCGTTAGCACATTCCTCCTTAATTCTGCTGCGAATGCTGGAGTACCGGGGGCAAGAAACCTTTCCTGGGGACGCAAGCCTGGGAGAAGACCTGTGTGGGCAGTTACGCTGGGGTGTGCACACTTATGGCCAGGCAAAAGCAGGCATCACCATCAAAACTTAAACAGAGCAGCTCACAGCGGCCAAGGGGCAGACAGGTTGCTGCTGAATTACAAAAGGAAAACCTTGAAGTGGGGATAACTGGCTGGGCTCCCAGGAGCAGAAGAGACAAGGCAGCAGGGATGGTGCTCCAATTCAGCCCCAGGCTCCTTCACTAGATTGAACACAGGCCAACCCAGGTCCTGCTGCTGCCATGTGAGTGGGCTGCAGGGCCAGCCTGAGCAGCCAGGCAGTGTGAGGGGAAGGAGACGGGCGCAGGCAGGTGAAGGGACCGGTCTGGGCTCATGTCACTTCCAGGGGGGACCCAGGCTAGAACCTAGAAGCCAAGGTCCCCTCTCCCCCAGGACCTTGCTGCCTGGAGGAGGCTTTGGACAAGCCCTGCTGGGACTTTATGGGAAAGCTCTGCCTTGTTCAAGTCTGGAGAGTGAAGCATCCAGACCCTGCCTGCCCCAGCACCCCCACCCCCTGCACTGACTCAGTGCAGCATCAGTACCTCGGGCTTGTGCACTGGCTATGTGCACCGTTCCTAGTGATGTAGCGCTGCAATGCCTGCTGCTCTGCTGTGCGGCTGGGCTGTGGGCCTGCTCTACCTTGGGGGTGTGGGCAGTCACATGCAGTGTTACCAGGTCTTAAATATGAAATTTTTGTAGTGGAAATCCAAAATTATTGTATTTGCTGAAAAACTATCATACGCTGAAAAACATGCAAAAAAGTATGCAACTAAGCATGCTCACTCACTAAACTAAGCATTCTCACTTACTTTATATTGCTCACTATAAATCTGCAGTGAGTGAGTGAGTGAGTGAGAACTGGGTTATCAAAGTTAAAGCATTTCTTTATTTGGAGGCAAGCAGTCATAAGAAACTACTAGCAGCAAGCCCAAAAGTTGGTCTCAGCCTCTTGTGGGCTCAGATCAAGAACAGCTCTCTGCTTACCTGGCAATGGAAACACCGTGACCACTGAGGCGGTCTTCCTAATTGTACCTAGGGAAGACTGCTCTCCTGGCACAGGGATAGTACCTGCGAAGGTAATGTATATAGCTGCTGGAGTAGGAAGGTCTTGGCTTTATACCCACTTTATGAAAAGGGGAGTCTCCTCCCTAACTTGCTCCTGCGGCCTTATGGCTGAGGGCATGCAAAACTTGGGGGCATCTAAACTCCAAGCCTCCGGGCTTGGCCTGTGAGTAGGACTCCCACCAAAGGTTCTGGAAACATCTGAACCCCCAGAGCGGGGTGGAGGATGTTTGCTGGTAGTAGTGCCACCTGTGGTTCTGGATTTGGCATTTGTTTTGGCTAATTTGGCTTGGAATATATAAAATTTAAATAATAAAAAAAACCACCCAAAAGTTGATTAAGACTTGGGCTTTGCCTAGGCTGCACCAATGAGCTGCCCCAAAAAGGGCGCATGTGCCCAAAAGCTTGCAAAGAAAGATCTTTTTTTTTTATTTTTTTTATTTCGTATTTGTTCTGAGAAAAGGTATCATCTCTGCAATGAGAGTTTTAGAATTCTGCATTGCTTTTAGTCTCAGACCAGCACGGCTCCAAAAAGCATCCTTAAAAACGACCATGCAGTTAAGCAGCTTTGCTAGGACTGATCGCACATTGCACAAAGGCTGAAACGCTGCTACCGGTCACGTGACCCCTCCCCAAGCAGCCCGCGGGGGCAGCGGCGGCCGGCAGGGGGCGCGGCGAGGCGGATTGTTCCAGTCGGCGGCCCGTAGTGGGCGCGGCTGACAGTGGCTGGCCGGGGCTGGGGAGCGCTATGGCGTCCAGCAGTGCCATCCAGATCCCGAGCCGCCTGCCGCTGCTGCTCACGCACGAGGGCGTGCTGTTGCCCGGCTCCACCATGCGCACCAGCGTGGACTCGCCGCGGAACATGCAGCTGGTGCGCAGCCGCCTGCTCAAGGGCACGTCGCTGAAGAGCACCATCATCGGTGTCATCCCCAACACCAGCGACCCGGCCAGCGACGGCGACGACCTGCCCTCGCTGCACAGGTGGGGCCCGGCCCGGAGGTTCCTGGGCGGGGGAGCGCGGGGCTGCCTCTCGGTGCGGCGGGAGACCCGCGGGGGGGGATGGGAGTGGGTGGGTCCGGGGGGCGCCAAGCCGCGCCGCGCCGGTGCCTGACTTGCTGCCCCCCCCCAGGATCGGGACGGCGGCGCTGGCCGTGCAGGTGGTTGGTAGCAACTGGCCCAAGCCGCACTACACGCTGCTGGTCACCGGCCTCTGCCGCTTCCAGATCCTGCAGCTGCTGAAGGAGAAGCCGTACCCGGTGGCTGAGGTGGAGCAGCTGGACCGGCTGGAGAACTTCACCCGCCGGCCCCAGGCCGAGGAGGACCTGGGCGAGCTGTCGGAGCAGTTCTACAAGTACGCCGTGCAGGTCAGCCGCCTTCGCCTGGGCCCCCCCCAGGGGGGGTCTCCTCTACCTGTGGGTGCTGCAGTTTGCTTCCTGGCTCTGCTGCAGAGCCAGAGGTTTTTGAATGTTCCCTGAACTGGGGCCACGGCTTGTTGCGTTCTCTGAACTGGATGTGGGATCCAGGTGTCCTTGTCCAAGCAGGTATTTCCAGCCAGCTGGCACTTTCCCGTTGCTGCCTGTCTTGTGTGGTCAGCATGTGGGTGAGAGAGCTCTGCTGAACTAGTGGGTTTGGGCAGGTCGGAGATGGGAGGAAGTAGCCTAGTGGCACATTTGTAAGGCAAAAGGGAACGTGGAAACCAAGAGTGGAAACGGCCTAGCAGGATATGGCTCCTGTCTAGATTCCCCCATTTGACTTTCTCAGTTTGTAAGTAAAAGCTTCCCTTTCTTCTGTCTTCAAAGCTCCTCTGGCTCCAAGGGTTTGTCTGTGAGGCAAAAGGCAGCACAGTGGAGATCCTCTGGGCTAGTGGAGTACTGAAAAAGGCCAGGCATAGTGGTTTGAATCTTTTTTCATTTGCGGACCCCAAAACATTTTGAATGGAGATGAAGACCCCTTCGAATTGTAACCGTGGGTATTCACATACTTTTGAGTGGTTATAGTCATCTTTTGCAGACCCCTTAGACATAGTCTGTGGATCCCCAGGGGTCTGTGGAGCACGGGTTGTAAACCACTGGCCTGTTAGCTCACATGTAGCAGTGCGCTAATGCAGCTATGTTGTGTCTATTTCCAAAGCCATCACTGAGCTTGGTGTGGCTGGATGGTGTGGCTTTGTGCCACAAAAACTCAATATTTGAGAGAGCACATTTCCATCTAGCTTGGCTTAGCTTTGTCCTGCACTGCATCAAACTGTGTAGACATACCCTAAGAGTCAAGCTGAGTTCTTTGATCTCCTTGTGTGATGGCAGTAATGCTGGATCTGCAGAGCAAACTACGCCTCTGGTTGTGATCACATGATCCCATTGTCTTCAAATTACAGGCAACACTGCAAACCCACTGAAAGGCCTAATTTGTACAGGTATCCCTGCTGGTAGTATTTATATCGGGGGGGGGGCACGGGGTGCAAAATGATGGATCTGGCCAGTGGCCGGACTCTATTTTTCAGCAGCCCTTGCCTGGGTTGCTGAGGCTGGTTTCCATGGAGACCCCAGGAGCTGTGGGGCTGTGACAGTGCGCAGCTGGGGTTTGCATGGAGATCAGCCCCAGCACCACTGGCAGGGCACGCAGCTGGGCAGGGAGCTGCTCCAGGGCTAAGGCTGGGATCTTGCAGTGGTGACAGCATAGTCCGGAGCCAGGGCAGAGCTGTGATCTGTTGCTTGCATGCCCGTGCTTGGGACGTGCAGGCAGTAGATCTCTGCTCTGCCCCAGTTCTGGACCACACTATCACCATTGCAAATTTCCAGCTCCAGAACAGCTCCCCCGCCCAGCCGTGTACTCTGCCAGCGCTGCTGGGGCTGGTCTTCGTGGAAACCCTGGCCCCACGGTGTTATAGCTCCCCCACTCTTGGGGTCTCCATGGAAACTGGCTGCGGTGACACAGGAAGGGGCTGCTGGGGAATGGAGTCCCACATGAGCCTGATTCAGCCCATGGGCTGGACTTTGCCTACCTTTGATTTATGTGGTCATATTTTAACTTCACTTTTGTGAACGCTGAGGAAATAGCCTTTGAGGGATTTGAATGGAGTGAGTGGTGGAGCATGACAAGTTCTGATTACAAGGTGAGAAGTCATACTGAGTAGATTTGCTGAATGAGAAAACTAAAAAGACTTTGACCCACAAAGTAACTAAATGGGGTATTTTAGAATTTTTCATAGAATTAGATGGAAGACAAAGGCTTAACTTTGTCTCCCAGCTTGCAGTGTCTCTGTGAGGTGCATCGGAAATGCTGTTTGAAATAATTCTGCCTCTGCTGGAAATAGAAGAATTGTTGTGGGTGTGTGTTCCTTTTCAGTAATGAGTCTGGATTTAGACATTTAAGTCTGGTAGGTAGATACCACGCCTGCTTTGAAAGACATTTTTTACATGTGCCATGCTTTGTGAACTTTGCCTCAAGCACTGCTAAACAAATATATGTTGGAGCAGGCCTGTTGACCCTGTTATTCCCCTGGCTCTTTCTCATAATGGTGTATGATAGCTCCTTCAGACCATTCTATAACAGTATTGAGTGGCTAACGTAGGAGTGTTCTGTTGACTCCGTTCTCCTGGGCTTGTAGGGTGAAGAAACTGAGGCTTACCCCAGTCGAGACCACCTGTCAGTCCTCCAGACGCATAGTATTGAAAGTATTTTCAGGTTGATTAATTGCTTTCTGTGGTATATGTCACTGTAATGTAATCTGTGACTGTCCAACTGGTGGTCCATTTGAGGCCCCCAGGCTCCTGCCCAACTGCCACTCCAGCCATTGCACTTGTGGCAGTGGCCAGGTTGCCAGGTTGCTTTCCTCTGGCTTCTGCTTTCTGCCTCTGCTCCTGAGGGCAAAGCGGCACAGTGGGGAGGGACCAGGCTGTGCGAAACAATCATTGTTTCATTTTGACATCCATTTTGCCATTTTGAAGGGACAGTGTTTCGATGTTTGTTTTCATTTTGAAGCACTGTCCAGTTTCATTTCATTGAAACTGTTTCGTTGTTTTGATGTGTTTTAACATTTCTCCCATAGGCTATAATGGGGAATCATGAAAATGCCTAAAACTTTGTTATTTCTTGCCTGATTTGGATTTAAATTGCAGGGATAGTAGCCCCTTCTGAGGGCATGAAGCCTGCCAAGTTTCAAGGAGATAGGTGCAGAGGTTTCTCAGAAACCACCTCAAACTTCAAAAAGCAAAACTCGTGACACTTGCTGGCAGCGGCAGCCTCCTGTCATCTGGCGTAGATCTGGGGGCCCACACCCCCGGGAGGCCTACGAGGCTGTGCCACACGGGCCTCCTGGGGATGCAGGCCCCCGGATCTGTGCCAGATGACAGGAGGCTGCTGCTGCTGCTGCTGCTGCTGCTTAAGACGGCGCTGGACACAGCTTGCACCCAGTACCAGGGAAGACTGATGTTACTTCTGGCCCCAGGCAGCAACAGCAGCCTCCTGTCATCCAGCCTGATGGTGGGAGGCAGGGGAGAGCCAGGGCTGCGCTCCAAGTGGCTTCGCAGCCCCATGGAGCTCAGCATGGTGGTGGAAGATGGAGCACAGCCCTGGCTCTGCCCACCTCCCGCCGCCAGGCTGAGCTCCATGGGGTCGGCAGAGCCTATCCAAGCACAGCCCTGGCTCTGCCTGCCTCCGGGCTGCGCTCCATGTGGCTGTGGAGCCCTGGTTCTCCCCTGCTTCCTGCCACCGGGCTGCTTCGACACTTGAAAGGTTTCGAAACTTTCAAAATGTTTCAAGTACCCTCATTTAGTTTCAAAGCTGTTTCAAAGCTTTTTGTTTCATTTTGATTGCTCTGTTTCAAGCTCGAAACACATCGAAACAGCTTTGAAATGAAACAGTGAAATTTCACACAGCCTTACTGTCCATGCTGCATGTGTGGTGGAAGGATGCTGGGCTGCTTGCTCAGGAATGGGAGCCAGGCTGCCTGTACTGCATGTTCTGGTGGGCTGCCTGCACAACGTGGGTGGCAGGGAGAGGTGTGGGGATGCTGTGCATGGGTTAGGGAGGGCTGGGATGTGTATGGCATGGGAGGGAGCAGGGCCATATTGTGTGGGGGTGGAGGATGTGTAGTTTGTCTGGATTGTGCATGTGGCAAGGGGGAAGCTAGTCTGGGTTGTTCACGCAGCAGGGATAGAAGGGGAAGGGAGAGAGCTGGCCTGGGCTGTACATGCAGTGGGTGGGAAGCAGGACTAGGGCTGGGGTGGTTGTGGGGGGGGAGTGTCCCCTGGGGTGTGGGGCTTCCAGATCTCCATCAGACACTTTGTCCGGCCCTCAGCTGCTGAGAAGTTGGACAACCCACCTTCAGTTGAAGATAAAAAATGGAAAACTGAGTGGATGTGATGAATTGAAGACAGGAGTAAGGACAAGAAC